CTAGGGAGAGCAGAAAAAAACAGTCTTGTCAATTGTTTTCACAGTTTCCAGATAGATGAGAATTTTTTTCTTATGTGTTTTCTAAAACTTAAAGCTATTGAAATTGGTATATAAAGTTTTATTACTCGTATGTTGAAAGGAATACATAAGTTATGTTCATGGGATATTTTGTCTTTAGATTAATGAGTCTGTGACTTTTCCTCCTATAGGCATCCTGCGAAGGACAGTAGAAGAGGTAACACAGGTTTCTGAGGATTATCGTCATAAGGCTCATGCATACAATGTCAACACTGCTTTTATTGAATGACCATATCTTCAGCATGTCTTTTTAATATTTCATCTTGATCGCAATGAATTGTACATGCTTTTTTCATTTAAATATTATACTGTTGATTATACCTTAGTTTTGTTTTTAGTATTAGAAAATGAAAATTATACTAGCCTCTTTGTCCAGACAGCAACCTATTAGATGTTGACCCTGTATGTGTAATTTATGTCTTAGTCTCCTAGGTTCTACATCCTGGCATCAGCACACATCATCCTTCTCACTCCAATTGAATCGTAGGGTGATGTTTGCCAAAAGTACATGCCAACCTGTATAGTGCTAGATACTGTAAAGTCTCTTCTCAAAGGAACCTACTGTCTAGTTTGAGATATAATTAATGCTTGTCTGTATAGAAACAATATAGATATTTTGTGCATATACAAGTGAACACCTATATGTAAATTTTTAAGTGAATAGAGCTCCCTTTTTATGCAAATGAAAGCATAGTATACACATTATTCTGTACACTAAATATATTTTGGAGATTGTTCAGTAGCATTCTATAGAGAACTTTGTCATTTTTGTAACTGCTACATAGTTTTTCATGGAATTACGCGTTTTCATAGTATGCTCATGGATATTTTCATTTCCATTATTATAAAGAATATTGCAAGGAATGATAGGTTAGAGGATATATATAGTACTGAGGATTCTATTCATAACTGTTGAATTGCTGCTTTAAAGGGAATATACATGTATGATTTTAGTAGTATCCTCATATTGCCCCCCCATAGATGTACCAATTTATATTCCTACCACCATTGTATTGAGAGCACCTATTTCCCCACTCAATAAAACAAGTGTGTTATCAAACTTTTGGATCTTTCTTAATCTGTTAGGTGAAAAATGATACTGTAGTGTACTTTTAAAAATAAACTTTAATTTTTAGAACAATTTTAGTTACAGAAAGGTTGCATAGTACAAAGTTCCACATGCCTACAACTCAGTTTCCCTTGCATAACTCTGATATATTTGTCACAGCTAATGAACCTGTTATTAACTAAAGAGCATAGTTTGTTCACATTTTCTTAGTTTTTACCTTATGTCTTTTTTTCTGTTCCAGGATCCCATCCAAGATACTGCATTACTTTGGTCATCATGACTCCTTTGAGTCCTTTTGGCTGTGACAGATTCTCTTATTTTTGATGACCTTGCTAGTTTTAAGGAGTACTGGTAGTCAGTGCACTTTAAAATTTGTGAAATTGGACATCTTTTTGTACACTTAAAGACATTTGCATTTCCATTTCTGGGAACTAAGAGCCCATGCTTTTAACCACTATACTATACCTCTTTCTTGATTCACCATAATTATCAATAAAACATTTGTGGGTCTAAATACACACAGACTTCTGATTCTGAGTGGAAAAAACTCCCAAGTCTCTATTACAGATAGAGGAGAACCATTAGTACAGGTGATATATAGTCAGACTCATGTATGATGACTCTGGCTACAACGTGAAGAATGAAGCAGAGGCTCGACTGGAAATGGTAGGTAGGCTGGATAAATCCTTGAAAGAAAAGCAGTGTTGATGAGAAGTTTAAGGGAAATACAGAAGATCCAGGAATTAGTGGTAATGGATGAGAGAATCAAGAAGTCGAAGGTGACTCAGTTTTATGAGCTGGATATTTTGGGTCTTCTCTTGAACCTAGATGAGAAATTCAAGATAAATATTTGGACAATGTTCAGCATACCTGTCACTCGAGACCTACTTTCTCTTCCTGTTGCTGTAGCTCTGTGCTACTACAATTCCCAGAGCCCCATGCTCCATCACAATCCCCTTAGAGTACGCCGCGCGGAGTTCTGGGACTTGAGGTCCGCGGCCTATTTACCGAAGTTATAGATAGTGGCCTGTGGAAACATGAGGAGGTAAGGGCTTGTCTGAGGAACAGGCGGCAAGGGGAACTCTGTTCTACCTTTTCTTTTGAAAATGGTTTCTATTGCTTTCTGGTTTGGGTATTGCATGTTCTCGGGATGTGGTTTTGTGGGAGCGGGAAGACAAAGGAGACGCGAGGAGGGAGACGGGCTGAACAGGCCTGCAGAGCGAAGTTCAGGAAGGGCTGCCATCGAGGCCGGCTGATGTGGGATTGCCCTCCCGGGACGGGCCCCAAGAGCTGGCCGGGTGCTGCGGCTTCGTAGTTCCTCACCGACCCAATTAGGTAAAAGGGTTTGGGGCTGGCTAATTCCCAGCTCCGGAGATGAAGGTACCTGGGGCCAGCCCCTCCCCGTCCTGCCCTACTTCCACCTCCACCTGAGAAAGGGGCTTGGGACGGGCGTATTTATTTGCAACATGTGTATTAAAGACGACTTGCTCGGGCCCCGAAACCACGTAGCCCTTTACAATCTTAAAGTAAGGGAGCTGTATTTTGTTTCTAAATGTAGAAGGACACCACCAAAGCGGTTCGATTTGTTGGGGGCTGGGGGCGGGGGAAGGCATTGCTGGGCGCAGTTCCCCCTACTGGTCCTGAGGTAAATGGCCGCTTGAGCCTAAGTGGCCTGAGCCTCCCAACTATTGACCGGCTTAAATTAGTTTTAGGTTCACTCTGCAAGTAGAATCATCACTCTGGAATAGTGTAGTGCATTTAAAATACTTACTGATATGCTTCCTGCGCTGTCAGTTCCTTGGGTCTTTTAAAAATATCGTTTCTGATTTTCCCTGCCTGAAACTAACCTTTAACTTTTTTACCATATCCATGCAAATAATGTATAATGTATATATACAGCTTAAAGAATAATAAAGGTGCACATCCACTACAAGCTTAAGAAATAGGACATCGCCAGTCCCTCAGAAGTCTACTGTGTCTCCTCCCTCCCTTCGTGTCCCCCTGAGGTGACCACTATCCGGACTGTGTGTTACTAATTCTCTTGCTTTTTAAAATTTTTGTTATTATACTTTTAAGTTCTGGGGTACATGTGCAGAACGTGCAGGTTTGTTACACAGGTATACATGTGCCATGGTGGTTTGCTGCACCCATCAACCCATCATCTACATTAGGTACTTAAAAGAGAAATAGTTTCTAGTACATATGTATTTATCCCAAAACAAAATGTTCCAAGTTTTATCTGTTTTTCAACTTTATACAAATGGACACATATCATATGAATTTTTTCTGTGACTTGCTTTTTAAAATTTTTACTCAACATTTCTTTTTGAGATTCATCTGTGTTGATGTGTAGAAACATTAAACTTAGTAAGAACTTTTGGAATTCTAAGTAATAAAAAATTGAGATACTTAGAAGAAATTTTTTAAAACCTTGGGCCTAAAGATAATTTGCAATTTTCCAAAATAGGGCCAAGTCTTTCTAGAGCATGGGAATATTGCTTATAATTATGGTTGTTAGTTTTCCTAGGCTTTATCATATCCTCAATAGGAAAGGGCTATTTTATGAGGAAAGTATTTGATACTCGTTTTCTTCCTAGAGTTAACTCATTTTTTGTATTTTTTAAATAATCTGTTGTTGCATGCTTAAATGGCCCTGTCATTTTTTATACTCTAATAAGAGTTTTTACTTACTTAGTGTTAGTTAGCTAATGCAAGCTATGGCCTAAATGTCTATGCAGTGGTGCCTAGGCTATAAAAATGTTATAACTGTCTTCATATTTCTTTCTGTACTCTCCCCTTTGGAGGTCTCCTCAAGAGCTCCAGATCTTGTTAACACAGATGACTCAAGATTTGTACATTCAGCCTCGGACTCTCATCTATACAGTTCTCTCATCTCTTATTTTCCATTTAGCCAGTCACTCATGCTGTTCCCTCAGAGTCAGTGTCTTGGAAGTATTCCTGACAGTTCATGCTGGCATTTATTTGCATTGTAAGAGGTGCTAGATTCAACATGGCTAAAACAATACTGACTTTCCCTTTCCCAAACCATTTATTCCATCTGGAGCTTTGTCTTTCCTTCATTGGTACCATTGTTCTCTCAGTTACACAGACTGAAATTTCAGGACTTTCTTTGACTTCCTTGCCTCTGCCTCCAAAAGGCCTCTCTCATCTAACCTTTCCTTTCCATTTCATTATTACCATTTCAGTCTAGACCTTTATCACCTTACACTTCAGTAGTTTCATAACTAGTTCTTGTTTCTTCCCTTTGAATCTATATGGCATATTATAACCACATTTATCTGTGTCACTTGCACTGTGTCACTTAACTACTTGATAAATTCCTTATTCTCATTATCCTTCAGTATATACTAATATCCTTTTGTACTTTCTTTCCCTGTTCTCCTTTTCTTCATCACACCCAATCCTTTGAATGTCAGCTTAAGAATACCTTTCTTAAGTCTTCCTTTATTACCTTATCTCCCGATTATCTATTCTATGAAGTTCTACTAATTTGATATTGCTTCAATGTGATATTCTTCTCTCCCCCCTCCCCCAGGCATATACACACAACACATACAGGCACATATGTTTCTTTTCCCTAAATACATTGTGGGCTTCTTGAGGGTAGGGACTATGTCGTAAACATCATTGACTTCCGTCAGTAACTAGCATAGTGCCTTCTGTGTAAACAGGTGGTAAGTGTTCATGGACCGAATGATAAAGGGCAATGAATTAGTGGAGAAGTGTCTTTGAATAAATGGGGTCACTAATGGTAGACAGTATGGATAAGGAATATATTTTGAGATGCACAGTCTCTTCTGTTTTCTGTATATATTCTTTTTATTTACTCCAGGGTCAACAGCTGTGTGAAGAGTGATGAGCATGTCCTGGAGGAGCTGGAAACAGAAGGGGAGAGACAGCTGAAAAGCCTCCTTCAGCATCAACTTGATACTTCTGTCTCTATTGAAGAGTAGGTATTGATTTTACAATCAGAAAGTATCATAGACTCTCACTTCCGGATGACAGACCTCTCTTAAAGCCTGGCTGGAATGCTCCTCTTCCACCTCCTTTTCTTTGTCAGACTTCAATGTATTAGGCAGGGTTTTGATTCTGTGTCTCTTCCTCTGGGAAGCCTCCCATATCTCACTAAGCCTGGGCCAAGTACCTATTTTTTCTCCTCCTATAGCATCCTATATTTCCCTTAACATAGCACTTGAAACCCAATATTATCATTGCCTCTTTACTTGCCTCTTTTCCACTGTTTTTCGACAAAAGCAGGAGCCATTTTTATCTTTTTTTTCAAGCTGTTAAACCCTCAGCACCTAGCAGAGTGTCTGATGCATAGTAAGTACTCAGTAAATATTTGTTGATTTAGTTATTTATTATCCCTGGATGAGGGGACTATTGATGGAGTTCCATTTCAGCTTAGAAATAAGATGTAAGAGAAAATTTGCTAATGAGTTTCATTCTACGTCTTACAATGTTGAGCCTCCATTTTTGTGAAGGGTAGTAACTTCAAGATGTTCTTACTCTCCTCCTGCATGTTTTGCAGATGTATGTCTAAGAAAGAGAGCTTTGCTCCTGGTACTATTTACAAGCCCTTTGGGAAGGAAGCAGCTGGGACTATGACTTTGTCCCAGTTCCAGACACTGCACGAGAAGGACCAGGAAACTGCTTCTCTCAGGGAGTTAGGGCTTAATGAAACAGAAATCTTGACCTGGAAGAGCCATGTTACAGGTGAAAAGGTGAGTGCGGTAATGCTTTTTTTGTTTGTTTGTTTTTCTCCTTGAGGAAACAGAGCAAAATCTCTTCATGTTGACATTGAGAGCCTTTTCATTTTTAGTGCTCACAAAACTGAGCTTTGTGTCTGAATTGTCTTTAATTTTTAGAATACATACATTGGTAAAAGAGAAGCTGTTCCTTGACTTCGTAGCTAATGCTTCTATAAACATTCATTTCTGCGCCCAGGTTATCTTTTGACTTGAGACATCAGATCATCACGTTCAGGTTATGTCCTCTATGATATATGCCATCTCATTCCTCTGGTTTCAGAAAACAAGACTGAGGGCAACTCCTGAAGCAATACAGAACCGTCTTCAAGATATTGAAGAAAGGATCGCGGAGCGTCAGCGCATTCTTTGCCTGCCACAGAGATTTGCAAAGAGCAAACAGCTGACCCGGCGGGAAATGGAAATAGAAAAGTCTTTATTTCAGGGAGCTGATCGTCACTCCTTCCTTAAGGCTCTTTATTACCAAGGTATGTGATCCTCACTGACTTTGATGTGTTCTTTCACTGAGAGAAAGATTAAACAGCAGGGCATTAAATATGAAGAGTTACTGAAGGGAGTAGGGGAGAGATACTACGTTTGAGAAATGTATGCCAGAAGAGAGACATATATGTGCACAGTTAGTTGCATGACAGCATAGAAACTGCTATTATAGAGATTTGAATAAAATACTGAAGTAGCACAGAACATAGAGCATCTAAGTCTAGTTGGGGGAGTCAGAAGTTGACATACTAACTCCTGATGGATCAACAGGTGTTTGTCAGGTAAATAAGGGAGAATGGACATTAAAGGCAGTAAATAGGAACAGGATTATGAAAGAACCTGGTGTGTCTAAGGAACAATGAGAAGTTTAATGTGGCAGGAGTAGAAGGAGTGGCAGGGAATGACAGGAGGTGACACTGGAAGGAAGGGAAGGCAAAGGTAGATTGTGAAGTCTTGAGGCTGAACTACAAATTAGCACAAATATATAGATAAATAGTATGTTTCTTAACCAGAAGGAATTAGTTTGACAGATAATTTTACTAGACACTGCAGAAGGTGCACGGAAGTTTGAGAATGGTTTCTCACCTTGTGCCAATACAGTATGGTTGGAGAGATAAACATGTAACATTTAGTGACAATACTAGATACATTTGCTAAGTGTTTTTGGAGTTCAGAGGAGGGAAAGGCCACTATGTATTGGTGTGATTGAAGAAGGCCTCTCAGAGGAGGTAGGATTTAAATGTTCTTTTAATACTACCTATTCTTTAGAAAGGAGAGGTAGTGGCATTTCAATTGCAACAGATGGTGTGAGCACTATAGAGTGTGCTTACTATGGAAGAGATGTGAGACGAAGTTAGAAAGGTAGCTAAAAATTTTGAACTGTATTTGGTGACTAGTAAAGACCTATACAGAGTTAGTGATCCTTAGTTTGAATATGGTTGAAGGTTTTGAACCAGAAGTAACATGATAAAAGCCGTATTTGAAAGTTATTAATCTCGTGGTCAGTAATAGGATTAGAGAGAAGAAGAACTGGAAGCAGGGAGAATGGATAGGAGATATTACAATCATTTAGGCATGAAGGCTCGTTCTAGAATGATAGCAGTGGAATTGGAGAGAGGTAGGTTTACAAGGGAAGAACTAGTAAAACTTGTTGACTGAAAGTGGAGGGAGGTCAATGGAGAGGTATGTGTCAAAGATAATTCATATGTTTCAAGGCTGTATGACTTACCGATTGGCAAAATTAAGAAAGCCTTTATGGGGAAATTTTGAGGAAGGATAATTAATTTGATTTTAAACATGTTGAATTTGTGAGAATGGCATGATCATCAAATACAAATGTTGAGGAGACAGTTGGAAATGCAGCAGTGAAGCTCAGGAGAGAGGTCAGAACTAGATACATAGAATTAAGAATCATCTATCCATAGATGACACGTTAAGGCCATGGGAATGAATGAATCATTTATTAGAGATAGAAAGACCATAGACATGGCAGAGCAGTGGTGCAGGAAGGAATGAACAAATGAATAGCCTTTTGCAGAGAGACATTTAGCATAATGATTAAGAATTATCATTATGGAGGCAGACTACCTGGGAAAATCTCCTGGCTCCCCCATTTACTAGCTATGAGATGCTAGGCAAATTACCTCTCTATGTTTTACTATCTTCATCTGTAAAATGAGAATATTAATAGTAACTATGTTGTAGGGTATTAGGAGGGTTAAGTGAGATAATACAAGTAAATCACTTAGAGCAGTACCTGGTATTTGGGGTGGAGGGTGGGTGGTGTATGAATCTGTTCTGTTTCCTATCTTTGAAACTCCTTGCTTTAAACCTTCACAGCATACCACAAAAAGACAAATGCAGACAAGTACATGACCTCAATGAAGAGGAAGATAAAATTAGGCACAAAAGGCAAGTCGAGAGTTTTCTTATAGTGTTAGATTTAGGAATGTAACCTAGGGTCCCAGATTTCTAAGTTGAGCACTTATTTAATTCCATATTCAGTATATGACAATGTTTATAGGAAATGATCCAGAGGAAGCATATTATCCTGATACAGAATATTAAATAGAGGCATTAATAGAAGTTGTAAAGCTTTTACATATAGTGCTGTTGTCTTTTCTTTATACATTTAAGTTATTATACCAGACATAAATTGACCTTAATGATTTTTATATCCCATTTCACAAATAGTTCTGAATATTTTTATTAATCAGTAAAGTATAGTTATTGATGATGATATGATAGCTAATATTTTCTTATTTTTGAAATGAACTTCCAATAAATTTGCATGGGGCTTCTTTTTTATTGGCATACAATTCTGTGAATTGTAAATCATGTAGATTCATGTAACCACCACCACAATCAAGAGAGAGAACAGCTCCATCACCTTAAAAAACTCCCTCATGCTGTCCCTTTATAGTCACTCTCAACCCACCATAATTTCTGAGAATCACTGTTTTCCATCACTGTAGTTTTATCTTTTAGAAAATGTCATATAAATGGACTCATACAACATGTGACCTTGTGAGATTGGCTTCTTTCACTCAGCATAATGCCTTTGAGACTCATTTAAATGAGTTGTGTGTATCAACAGTTCATTCATTCTGCTGAGTAGCATTTCATCATATGGACATTCCAAAGTTTGTTTATCCATTCGCCCATTGAAGTGCATTTGGGTTGCTTCCAGGTTATGATGGCTATGCATAATATTGATATGAACATTCTTGTACAAGTTTTTTGTGAACGTAAGTTTTTATTTCTCTAAGGTAAATATCTAGAAGTGAGATTACTGGTCATATGGTAAGTGTACATTTAACTTCATATGAAACTGCCAAACCATTTTCCAGAGTGGCTGTACCATTTTGCATTTTCACCAGCAATGTATAAGAGTTCTAGTTGCTCTACATCTTTGTCAGCACTTGGTATTGTTAGTTTTTATTTTGGTTATTCCAATAGTTGTGAAATGGTACCTCATTGTAGTTTTAATTTGCATTTCCTTAGTGGCTAATGATGTTGAACATCTTTCATATGCTTATTTGCCATCCTTATATCCTGTTTGCTAAAGTGTCTGTTCAGATCTTTTGCTGTTTTATAATTGGGTTGTTTATTTTCTTCCTGATGACTTTTGAGAGTTCTTTATATATTCTAAATTAAATCTTTTATTGGATATGTGATTTTAACACATTTTCTCCCAGTCTGCAGTTTGTCTTTTTATTCTCATAATAGTGTCTTTTGCAGAGCAAACATTTTTATTGTGGTAATATATATGTAATGTAAAATTTACCATTTAAACCATTTTTAAGTGTGTAGTTCTGTGGCATTAAGTACTTTCACATTGTTCTGCAACTATCACAACCATCCATCTCCAGAAATTTTTCATCTTCCCAAACTGAAACTCTAATCATTAGACACTAACTCCCCATTTCCTCCACCCCCATCAGCCACTGGCAACCACCATCCTACTTTCTCTCTCTATGAATTTGACTACTCTGTTTCTATGAATTTGACTACTCATAAAAGTAGAATCATACAATATTTGTCCTTTTGTGGCTGGCTTATTTTTGTTAACATATCTTCAAAGTTCATCTCAGTTGTAGCATGTGTCAGAATTTTCTTTTTAAGGTGGAGTCATATGTATATAGCACATTTTGTTTATTGATGGATGCTTAAGTTGTTTCCATGTTTTAGCTTTTGTGAATAATGCTGCTACAAACATGGATGTATACCTGCTTTCAATTATTGTGGGCATATACTCAGAAGTACAATTGCTGGATCACATGGTAATTTTACATGTAATTTTCTGAGAAACTGCCATATAATTTTCCATCAAGACTGTATGTACTATTTTACCTTCCCACCAGCAATGCACAAGATAAGAGTTACAGTTTCTCCATACCCTTGGTAACACTTGTTATTTCTTTTCTTAAAAAATAATAGCTGTCATCATGGGTGTGAAATGGTATCTTATTATGGTTTTGATTTCAATTTCCTTGATGATTAGTGCTGTTGAGCATCTTTTCATATGCTTTTTGAAGTTCTATATATATTCTGTATATTAATTGCTTGTAAGACATATGATTTGAAAATGTTTTCTCCTGTTCCAAGAGTTACCTTTTCACTCTGTCTTTTGATGCACAGAGTTTTTAACTTTGATGAAGTCCGATTTGTTGATTTTTTTTCTTTTGTTATCTATGCTTTTGGTGTCATATCCAAGAACTCATTGCCAAATCCATTGTTATGAAGGCTTTTCCTTAGGTTATCTTCTGAGAGTGTTACAGTTTTAGCTCTTACATTTAGGTCTTTGAATGAGTTAATTTTGTATATGGTGTAAGGTAAGAATTCAACTTTATTTTTTTCATGTCGATATTCAGTTTTTCCAGTACCACTTGTTGAAAAAAAGACTGTTCTTTCCACACTGGATCATCCTGGCACCCTATTCAAAAATCATTTGACCATATATGTCTGTCCTTATGCCAGTACCACACTGTTTTAATTATTATAGCCTTGTAGTAGGTTTTGAAATCAGGAAGTGTGAGACCTCCAACTTTGTCATTATTCAAATTGTTTTGGATATTTGAGGATCAGTTGAGATTCCATATGAATTTTATAATGGATTTTTCTATTCCTGTAAAAAATGTTATTGAGATTTGGTAGGCCTTGCATTGAATCACTTTGGTTGTATTGACATCTTAACAGTATTGTCTTCTAATTGATGAACATGGGATGTTTATTTGTGTCTTGTTTAATTTCTTTTAGCAACATTTTGTAGTTTTCAGTGTATAAGTCTTTCACCTCAGAGAAAATGTTTTCATGTCTTGTAAAATCTTGTGTATCAATTGATCCTTTCATGGGTTGTTTTTTATGTGTGTGCATTTATATGTGTCTAAGAACTCTACCTGTTCATGGAAAAGATATTTTCCTGTCTTTTCTTCTGATATATAGTTGTACATTTTACATTTAGATTTATGATCCAATTTGACTTGATGTTTATATAAGGTACGAAGTTTAAGTTAAAGTTCACTTTTTTTTTGGCTTCAAATGTCCTGTTGTTTCAGAACCAGCTGTTAAAAGAGTATTCTTTCTCCATTTACTTGCCTTTGTATTTTTGTTGGAAATCAATTGGCCACATTTGTGTGTTAATATGTAACTCCATAATTAATCATGAAAAATTGAAATTCTTCCCCCAAGATAAAAAAAAAAAAGACAAAGATGTCTGCTCTTGCCACTTTTGTTCACAGCGGAATGAAATTAGAAATCAATAACTGAAGGACATGTAGGAAAATTACAAATATGTGGAAATTAACACTCTACCAAACAATCAATGAATTAAAATGAAATCAAAAGGAACACTAGAACATATTTTGAGGTAAATTAAAACACAACATGCCAAAACTTATGACAATAAATTTAGTGTTTGGGGGATATTTAGCTGTAATGCCCATAGCTGTATATGGCCATATTAATAAAGAAGAAAGATTTCAAATTAATAACTGAAACTTCCACCTTAAGAACTTATAAAAAGGAAAGCAAACTAAATCCAAATCAAGCTGATGAGAATAAATAATTAAAAAAAGAGCAAAAATAAATGAAATAGAGGAAACAATAGAGAAAGTCAGCAAAATCAAAAGTTAGTTCTTTGGAAAGATCAACTCATGTATAATCCCTTAGCTAGACTGATCAAGTTAAACAGAAAGAAGACTCAAATTTCTTTTTTTTCTTCTTTTTCTTTCTTTTAATGAGGTAGGAAAAGTTATATTCCCTCAGATACTGGTGCCAGAATTTTATCCTTTTGTTTGAGAAAATATTTTGATAAACTTGTATGGGTATGTGCTAGACATGAGTGCTGTTCACTAATGTTTCTGCTTCTTCTCCTCCTGTGGTAGTGAGGAAGGAGACCCTTAATAATCCTTGAACCTCTAAGACCACCTCCCCCTTGACCTCGACATTGCATTTCAATAGGAGAAGTAAAGGCTGGCAGACCGGGTACCACCTTTAACCACCCTCCTATAGATCACAGGCATGGTGTGCAAGAATCTTTTTTTTTTTTTTTAAGATTGTGCCAGTGCACTCTAGCCTGGCGACAGAGCAAGACTCCATCTCAAAAAAGAAAAAAGAAAGAAATTTAAGCATGTTTATTAGCAAAAGGAAAGGAATCAATCCAGAAAAATATTAAAGATATAAGAGAGGGACTCCAGCAACATATAAAAAGAATTATGTATCATGACCAAGTAAGATTAATCCCAGGAATGCAAGGTTGGGTCACCACATGAGAATTGTATTTGACCAGGCACAGTGGCTTACACCTGTAACCTCAGCACTTTGGGAGACCAAGGCGGGCCAATCACCCACAATCGGGAGATTGAGACAAGCCTGCCCAACATGGTGAAACCCTGACTCTACTAAAAATACAAAAAATTGGCCTGGCGGGGTGTTGGGCACCTGTAATCCCAGCTACTCATGAGGCTGAGGCAGGAGAATCACTTAAAACCTGGGAGGCAGAGGTTGCAGTGAGCTGAGATTGCACCACTGCACTCCACCCTGGGTGACAGAGTAAGACTCTGTCTCAAAAAAGGAAAGAAAGAAAAAGAAAAAGGAAAAATAAAGAAAGTTGTATTTTTTTTTGAAAGAAAGAAAGAAAAAAGGAGTGAAGAAGAGGAAGAAAAAGAGGGAGAGAAAACGGGGATGTAGCTTAATTCTAAAAATGGGTATTAATAATGGCCGATTAATATTTTGTGTACTTAAGGTAGAGAATGTATATTTTGTATATTTAAAATGGAGAGCTCTATAAATATTTATTGAGTTTACTTGTTCCGGATCTGAGTTCAAGTCCTGGATATCCTTATTAATTTTCTGTCTCGTTGAGTCTAAATCTCTTTATGAGTCTTATGTATCTGGGTCTTAGGATCGTT